GGGGGACCAGAGGTCACCTTATATTGTACATCAGTAGGGGGATCGGACCAGAGGACACTCAATATTACACATGAGATCAATAGGGGGACCAGAGGGCACCTTATATTGTACATCAGTAGGGGACATCACTAGGGGGACTAGAGGTCACCTTATATTGTATATCAATAGGGGACCAGAGGTAACCTTATATTGTACATCAGTAGGGGAACCAGAGGACACCATATATCGTACATTGGTAGGGGGACTATGGGTCACCTTATATTGTACATCAGTAGGGGGACATCAGAAGGGGACCTAGGGGACACCTTATATTTAACATCAGTAGGGGACTTCAGTAGGGGGACCAGAGGTCACTTTATATTGTACATCAGTAGGAGACCTGTGGTCACCTTATATTGAACATCAGTAGGGGACCTGAGGACACTTAATATTACACTTTACATCAATAGGGGGACCAGAGGTAACCTTATATTGTACATCAGTAGGGGGACTAGAGGACACCTTATAATGTACATCAGTAGTGGGAGCAGAGGACACCTTATATTGTACATCAGTAGGGGCACCAGAGGGCACCTTATATTGTACATTAGTAGAGGGACCAGAGGTTACCTTATATTATACATCATATTGGGGACAAGAGGACACCTTTTATTGTACATCAGTAGGGGGACCAGGGCTCACCTTATATTGTACATCAGTAGGGGGACCAGAGGTCACTTTACATTGTACAAAAGTACGGGGAAAGAGCCTTCAGTTCAGTTTTAACGTTCGTTACTAGGTCGATCAGAGGTAAACTAATATTGTACATCAATAAGTTGACCAATGGTCACCTTATATGTTATTTGATTATGGAGACTAATGGTCATCCTTATATTGTACAACAGAAAGGGGGCCATAGGTCAACTTATACTGTACAAGAGCAAACGTCAGATTATATATTGTACATCATAAGGGGAAACGGAGGTCACCTTATACATCAATAAGGGGTCAGAGGTCACCCTATGTTGTAGATCATTATGAGGACCTTAGGTAACATCAGTAGGGGACCAGAGGTCACCTTGTATTGTACATAAATGGGGAGACCAGTGGTCCCCTTTGTTGTACATTTTTAAAGAAATCAGACATAAAAAAATTATATGAATGAGAGATGAAGCATCAACGATTCTAGACCCGTCGTAACCAACAGAAACCTAAAAAGAAAACAAGGGCGGACCAGAGGGTACAGATAAAATGCATATTAACGAGATGCTAGAGGTTCACTTAAGAACACGACAAGAGGTCTATGGATCTTATAGGTCATCTGAACATCTTGTAAAACTTTAAAACTTTCATTTCAAATAAGCGGTAATAATAAGCTATAATTAGTAGTGCTCATTGACCACAAAAACCCTCATCCTGAGGTCATACGTCTCACAATTTTGAAAAAAATGACCATTGTTCATGAAAAAAAAAATTGGTTTATACCAAAGAACAAATTTCAAAGCATTAATACAATTACAGTATTGTCTACAAATAACATGGTGCCCATGAGCCATGGGCCTTGAAATTTATAATTCTGGAAGAAGCTCCCTTGCTTGTCATAACTATATGTAGTTAGTTTAATTAATAACCAGGAGCAGAGAGGAAGATTTTTTTAACGAATTAAGGACTTTGGGGGTCAACAAATTAACCACAAATTAACCATCAGTTTTAACTTATTTTTTCAGATACGGTATCATAACTGTCAACTATCATTTGGGAAAGAAAAAGTTCAGAGATTTTAGTTTTAAAATTTGATCATTTTTGTATATCTTTATATGGAGCTCTTCTTTTAAAGGAGATCAAAATAGTCTGAAAATGGCTGCCACCCCTCAGCCTCTTTAATGAATTTAAACTTAACAGTTTATATAGCCCCACCGTAACACCGGAACCCCTGACCTTTGGGTCACGAATTTCAAAACTTTGGAGAGAATACCCTTCCTCATCACAACTTTGCATGTAGTTAGTTTGTTTGATATCCAGGGGCAGAGGGAAATATTTTCAAAGAATAAATGCATTTCATAATTATTGTTATTGTCGTTATGGGTATTTCCTGTGTGAACAGAGTGGTGGATCTGTGTGGTTTTTATGTCACGTGACATGGTCATATAAATAGCAGGTGCGTGCTTAAAAAGTTACTCTACCGCTCGTACAGAACGTGTAAGGAATGGAAACCAGTAAATTAGGCACACACGCATACATGTATGTATATAAGTATTATTTAATGTGTAAAAATAACGTGTGTTGAAATGAATACAAATGTGTTAAATTTGTAATAAACGTTCTAACGAGCAGAATTCCATACATGTGAGTTGATTATTCTTTCAATACAGAATAAAAAGTATAATTAATTTATATTCGGACAAACGAAGTGAGGGAGAATATAACCGAAATATAAATTTTATAGCCCTGTCTAACCCCAGGGCCCCTGACCCTGAGACAATGAATTTCACAATTTTGGTATGGAGTCAATGCTTATAATAATTATGCCAACAGTTCGACGGCTTGATCTTAATGAGTAAAGAAGATTTTTAAAGATTTCATCAATTGTAGTAATTTCGCTCAAACTTTGTTGCCTTAGGGGGTGGAGGGCAGGGACCATGAATTAATATATCTCCCCTTCACCCATAGATGCTTTATGCCAAAATTGGTTGTAAATGGTTGAGGGATTACAGAGAAAAGCTGAAAATGTTCAAATGTTAACGCACAATGCACAGCTCACGACGCCAGAAAAAAACTGATAGCAATAAGTCACATGCGTTGATTCAGGTGTCCAAATAAGGAGTCCTTTGGTCTCAATATTTATGTAAAATATTAGATGTCTCTGGTCTCCCTGTTGACTTACAATATAATATTTATTTATTCCCCCTATTGATATACAAGAGAAGAACTCAGGTCCTTCTGCTGATGCACAATATAAGATGACCTTCGTCGCAATGACTTACTAATGTAAAATAAAAGGTGTCCTCTGGTCCCGCTACAGATGTACAGTACAATATTAAGTGACCACTAGTACCCGTACAATATAAAGTGACCTCGTGTCCTTCTGCTGATGTACAATATACGATGACTTCTGGTCCTACTACTGATGTACAATATTAGGTGACCTCTGGCCTCTCTACTGATGTACAGTACAATATTAGGTGACCACTAGTCCCCGTATTAATGTAAAATATCGGGTGACCTCTAGTCCCCGTACTGATATACTAAATAAGGTGTCCTCTGTCCTTTGATGTACAATATAAGGTGACCTCTGTCCCCCTTACTTATGTACAATGTAAGGTGTCCGCTGGTCCCCCCTACAGAAGTATAGTATAAGGTGTCCTCTGCCCCCCCCCCCACTGATGCACAATATCAGGTGCCCTCTGGTCTCCCTACTGATGTACAATATAAGGTGTCCTCTGGTCCCTCTACTGATGTACATTACAATATTAGGTGACAACTAGTCCCGTATTAATGTAAAATATCGGGTGACCTCTAGTCCCCGTACTGAGTACAATTATAAGGTGTCCTCTCGTCCCCCTACTGATGTACAGTATAAGGTGACCTGTGCCCCCCTTACTTATGAAAAATGTAAGATGTCCGCTGGTCCCCCCTACAGAAGTATAGTATAAGGTGTCCTCTGCCCCCCCCCCCCCCCCCCCGATGCACAATATAAGGTGCCCCTGGTCTCCAAAATGTTGTACAATATAAGGTGTCCTCTGGTCCCTCTCCTGATGTAGAGTACAATATTAGGTTACCTGTAGTCCCCCTACTGATGTACAATATAGGGTGTATTTCTGACGTCCCCCAAATGATGTAAACATCATAAAGTATCCCCAAGTCCCCCCTATTATGTGCAATAAAAGATTACATTTGGACTCTCTATTGATTTAAAATGTAAGGTGACCTATGATCCCTCTGATGATGTACAATATAAGGTGACTACTATCTCCCTAATAATATTAAATATAAGGTGGCCTCTGGTCCCCCTATTTGATGTACAATATGAGGTTACCTTGGACACCCTTTATTACTTTCATGTTTCTGCTAATATATATATTAGAAAGTTGATCTTTATAAAGTTATAAATATGATTATTTTGGAGCAAGACAAAGAAAATTGTCTATCATATAAAATTCAATTAATATATAAGGTGACCTGAGGTCTCCGTGTTGATATCGATGAATTTACTATTTTTGTGCCTTTAATGCCTGGAGAGTTCCTAGAATGTTTCATTACTACGCAAAATGACGAACTATTTGCGGGGGACCCCAGGTCCTAGTTGAGTGTCACGTTTTATCCTTCTGCGTTGCCATATATATACAAGGACATTTGCATTTAAAACGTGAAAAAAAATTGCCAAAAGAGAAATGCAAAATTTCCGTAAAGAATTTGAATCACTAGGTGGCGTATCGCGGCAGAATGCTCTCATTGGTTAGGTTTTCAGAGAAGAAAGAAGGACAAAATGGCGAAGAAAACACCAAGAATTTGAATAAAGGAACAACAGAGATGAGAAGATCTTTGAATCTACACAGAAGAAAGGCACCCCAAACGGCAGATTAGATACAGGTAGTTATTTGTTACAGTTCAGAGCACCTTTTATTTTTGTTTTTATCGTCTGAAATCGTAAGAATAATGTTGACATAAAATGGCGCGTTCCAAAAATTCAAAATGACCATTGTACAGTTGTAATTATTGTGAAAAAGCGCCTTGTAAATCATTCTCAGCTTAGGTTGTTATACAGATAATTAACTGCTGTTTAAACGCATGCATGTATTTTGCACCATTGTATTTATCTTTCATGTTTTTCGTATGAATATTAGAATATGCTATTGTATTTTCTGCATCGTCCCGATCATGTAAAATTTACATAATTTTAAAATTACAACGTGTTGTAGTATTCCGGAATTTTAAATGTAGGTTGGTTTTAGAGGATAATATCGTTATGTACTTGTATCCGGTGTTAACTTTTTCATTTGGAAAATCGAAAGATTTGACCCCACGCTTATGTTTTTTCAGAAAATGTGAGCTTTATTGTTCATTATAGCTGCTGGATGTGTTCAATGTTATTCTCAGAAGTAGTTTCTTGAATCGTACATTTATTTTTCGCTGAATTGTTTTTATTATTGATGGAAAACTGTGCTGCACAGCTGAGGAAGGGGTTCAATATATTTTTAACATACACTGTACATGCAATCTAGAATCGTAAATATTAGACATGTAAGAGGGCATCATGATGGGAGAATGCCATCGTGTAGTACTGTATCACTGTGAAGTGCCAATTTGTACATGTTGTAGTCATGAAAGTAAAATTCCTGAGAACTTGCAGATTTTTGGGCTATGAAAGTGACTTGATAATTTTCATAATGCCGCACATTATTCAAGTTGAAGTATTTTATATTCATAGCATACATAAGGATTTTAAAGCAAATGTCAAAAGTGAATAAACTATTTATATACAAAGATACATAAGCGTCTTTTCGTACAAGGCATAATTATGATGAATTAAACTTTAAAAAATGATATTTATTTTAAATTAAATTTTAATTTCACGTTGACACATATGCATGTTTTGATCTATATGAAATAAATAAGACTATTTAAGCAACCTAAAACTTGATTTAGTGTGCATGGTTTAATTTTTCATTAGAAATACTTATGTTATTTTTGTACCTTGGGCTTCAAATATTAAATGTGGTGCTGCACTGTGCAGTTTCTAAATATCAGAAATCACTTTTAAATCATATTAACCATAAACATGATTCTCTTGATAACAGCAGAACAGCTATTGTTTACCTGTATATAAATTCTGCATTATGATAGACTGGAGCTTGATGAAATGAGCAATTGGCCATTTTCAATTTCTTAAGTTGCATGCATTGATATTATATAGTCATATACTAGTATTTGTTTGTTGCTCGTAGAAATTATGATATCCGTTTAGAGAACTTTTTATTCATGTGGATACATCACCAACACAGTCTCTGCTCTCATCCGAGGGAGCGGTCTCTATGTACTACATTGGATTCAGACCCGTGATGTAAGAATCAGCACCTACTTCCCGATTTGAGGCGTGTCGCTCATACCACTGGGCCACACTGTGTGACCCATTATGAAAATTTGACATAATACTTTTACGTCTATATGACTTCTAAATTTTACTGACTTGATAAAATGACTGATACACAAATAAGATTTTTGTAATCTCTCTGTTTATAGCTGTTTACCATTTGCCATATTTCTATCACTAATTACATCAATTTTCAACAATGGCCACTAAAGAGTCATAGTTCTGTCTTATTATATAAATAGTTATCTGCCCTTGATGCAAAGTGGAATAAATAAAATAAAGTATTAAATGGATTATAATTTTGAATCAAAGAAGGCCAACATATCTTTAACAAACATAATTTAGATGTAGTCTTGCTTTTATGAAAAATTGCAACTTATTTAATTTTTCTCACTCTCAGATATAATTGCTTTTCAAGAACTTTTAAATTGTGGTTGTGATAGGACTGCCACTTAGAATTAGACCAGAGTGTGTCCATTTTAAAATGATACAATTTTCCATCATTTTTTTTCTTTGTCATGTGTCTATTAGAATTTTAACTGAATGTCAGATGCAAGGAAATGGACATGCAAGTGGTTTTTGGGACTTTTCTTAGCTCATGCTAAAAACAAAAACAGTTATTAATGTACAGTACTGTACTAACTTGATCTATTTTAATTTCAGATATCCACTGAACAAATCATCTGAAAACTAAGGCTAATAGGAGAGGATGAAGAATACATCTGTTAAAAGGTATGTTTTAACAGTGGGTAAGAACTTAATATAATTTATATAGCTCTATTTTAGGAAATTAAGGACTAAAGCATAAAGTTTATGCTTTTATTTTCTATTGTGTTGTTAATCTCACTGTGTAATGTTAAGCTCTCTATTTAGTGTTTATCATCATGATCATAGTCAGTGTGTTGTGGGGTTGGGGGGAGGGGGTTTACATGTAAGCTGCTTTCCTCTACTTTTTAAGTTTTATATAATATATAATTTTGGTGAAGAGGAACAAAATTTATAAATTTTATCCCCCCTCCCCCGCGGGCCTGAGAGGTGGGGCCAAAACCACTAAAATTCATGCAATCTTTGAAAATCCCCTTCTTCTTTTCCCCTCCTGAACATCAAGCAGTCAAACTGTTGGTATGATTGTAATCGGCATTGAGTCCTCTACCATAATTATGAAATTCATGACCCCAGGGTCAAGGATTCTAGTATTAGGGTGGGTCTTATAGCACTTCGGAATTAATCAAACCATTTAAGATGAAATAAAACCTATGAAAAAATTCAGTAAATTTTGAAATGTGTGGCCCCAGGGTTAGTGGTTCCTTTGGGGTGGGGTACACAACTGGTGGTTATAAAATGGAATTGCATTGTATCTTTATTACTCTGATCTACCTTTGGGTATTAAGTAACCAAAGTAAGCATGTTAACTAAGTGTATAATTATGATAAACAAAGGTGCGTCTTTCAAAATTGTGAATTTCATGGCTTTTTGTTTAAATTACGAACAAAATTCAATTGAGTGGAAGTTGTTAGGCCTAGAAAAAAATATATTTGTTTCCCCTTTCAGGCTGAAAAAATATAGGTAGATAGGTAGGTAATTAGTTTTTTTTTTTGAAACATTTTTTTTTTTTTGCTTCTTGAATCAAAAAGTGTATAGAAGTAACATTAATGACAAAAGAAATGGTGTTTTCAAGTATTTCTGTGACTTAAAAGAAAGGTAACTCAAACTTCTTTCTGTCTTGAACATGTTGAAAAGCTTGCAAAGTTGGAGACTATAATTCCCTGCGTGAAATCTTGCACTTCATGGGACAAAAGCATTAAAAAAAAATTTAGTGTCAACACTATATATTAGGGTCGGTCGGGAACAAACATATTTTTAGGTCACCTGAGTAAACTCAGGTGACCTATTGCTATCCGTTTTCGTCCGTCGTCGTGCGTCGTCCGTCGTCCATCGTGTGTTAACATTTGAACATTTTCATCTTCTTCTCTGCAACCACTGCACCAATTTCAACCAAATTTGGCACAAAGCATCTATGGCTAAAGGGGAACAAAAATTGTGAATTCCATGATCCCTGCCCCCCTGGGGCCTGGGGGGTGGGGCCAAAACCACTAAAATTAATGCAATCTTTAAAAATCTTCTTCTTTACTCCTGGACATCAAACAGTCAAACTGTTTGCATGATTGTAATCAGCATTGAGTCCTCTACCAAAATTGTGAAATTCATGGCCCTGGGGTCAGGGGTTCTAGTGCTAGGGCGGGGCTAAATAAGTTATAGTGAAAATGCATTATTTTTTGAAAATCTTCTTCTCTGCTGTGGTATTAAATAAACCAACTAAGTGCATAGTTATGATGCAAGAGTGCTTCAACAAAAATTGTGAATTTTATGGTCCCAGGGTCAGGGGTTCTGGTGTTAGGGCGGGGCTCTATAGATTATATAGTAAAAATACATGAATTCTTTGAAAATCTTCTTCTCTGCTCCTAGGTATTAAATAAACTAACTAAGTGTATAGTTATGTTGAGCAAGAGTGCTTTTACCAAAATTGTGAATTTTATGGCCCCAGGGTCAAGGGTTCTTGTGTGTGTGTGTGGGGGGGGGGCTCTATTGATTATATAGTGAAAATACATTAATTCTTTGAAAATCTTCTTCTCTGCTCCTAGGTATTAAATAAACTAACTAAGTGCATAGTTATGATGAGCAAGAGTGCCTCAACCAAAATTGGAATTTTATGTGTCTGGTGTTGAGGGGGGGGGGGGGGGCTCTATTGATTATATAGTGAAAATTCATGAATTCTTTGAAAACCTTCTTCTCTGCTCCTAGGTATTAAATAAACTAACTAAGTGCATAGTTATGATGAGCAAGAGTGCCTCAACCAAAATTGTAAATTTTATGGTCCCAGGGTCAGGGGTTCTGGTGTTAGGGCGGGGCTCTATTGATTATATAGTAAAAATCCATTAATTATTTGAAAATCTTCTTCTCTGCTCCTAGGTATTAAATAAACTAACTAAGTGTATAGTAATGATGAAAATATAGTGAATTTTAGATCAGGGGTTCTGGTGTTAAGGCAGGGCTAGTTTGATTATATATTGAAAATATGTGAATTCTTTGAAAATCTTCTTCTCTGCTCCTAGGAATTTTAACTAAGTACATAGTTATGATGAGCAAGAATGCCTCTTCTAAAATTATGAATTTTATGGCCCCAGGGTCAGGGGTTCTGATGTTAGGGCGGGGCTCTATTGATTATATAGTGAAAATACATTAAATCTTTGAAAATTTTCTTCTCTGTCTCTGGGTATGAAGCAGATGAACTACCTATATAGTCATGATGAGAGGGCCTTATCTTCCCAGAATTGTGAATTTCAAGGACCCTGGGCCGGGGGGGGGGGGGGCTCTACTTATATACTGAAAATGAATTAATTGTTTGAAATCTGCTCCTTTGTATTTATAAAACATTTATTTATTTTTTGATAGGCAATTTTAAGAGTGCCTTTTTAAAATTTGTGTAATATGTGGACCTAGGGTCAGGGGTTTATGTCACAGTGTTAGGGGCACTACTGATTATTGCTGAATATTACTGATTAGTTGGAATGCATTTTTGTCCCCTACCCTGTGTATGGGTATTCAGTAACCAAGCTAAGCAACTGCTAAGTGTACTGTTATGATGATCAATGGTGCCTCTTTCGAAATTGTGAATGCCATATATATCTGGCTTAAGTTAAAACATGAATCATATTCAATAACTGGAAAGTTGTTGCATAATGCTCAGGTGACCTATAAGGCCCGTGGGCCTCTTGTTTTTTCTAGGCTTTACATGATACTCAGGTGACCTATAAGGTCTGTGGGCCTCTAGTTGTTATTCAAATATCATGAATCATGTCTAAGGGTCTAGGTTAGGGGTACAAAAAATATTTTGATGAACAAGTAAAATGAAGAAAAAAATCCTTAATTTACTTTGAAAATCTTATCAGAAACAAATCCATACATACATATTCAGTACATTTAAATACATTCAAGTTTGTTTATTTCATTATCCCTTGTCAAGTGTTTAAAAGAGGCAACTTTAATAAACTAATGAGATTTTACACTTGATAAATTTTTAGATTTTATTTTAAATCATTCTGATCAAAAATGCTGAAAATCTGAAATTAATCAAACAAAGGCTTGTACTAGAACAGTTTTAGGAACTTTCAGTTTGTCAATCTTATTAAAATTAAATGTTAGATCTGCGCACATATTGGCTAAAATCTAATGGCATCCTGTAGAGTGTCACGTCAGACGTTAAATTCTAACCAATCAAATACTCAAATGCAGAAATTATTGTATTTAATTTATTGGAATGAATAAGTCTAGAGTCTGAGTTGTTCCGTATTTGACATTTGACGTGACCTTCTATGGATGCTGTTAGATGTTGTGTAGCGAGTATGCAAGAGGATCTAACATGTTGTTTTATTTAGATCGGGATTTTGTTAAACTATATTTTTATATATTTTCAATAGGTTGAAGTAACTGACGAGCAGGTCAATCCAACTTGAAGTGCAAGTGGGTCTTCAAAAATGTGGACCACTCAAGGACTTTTCTGTTGGTTGATGATGTACTACAAACAGAATATTTAACAAAGAAATCCACTTTGGTGCTTACTGGCTACTAATGATGTGAACTTGTGCATTTAGTATACCAAGTACTTTTACATTTCCTTGATGATACTAGACTTGCATATACCGAATTCAGGTTTAGTTGATTGATTGCAGTTCTAAGTTCCTCTCGCAAGATTATATCTCTCATGTATCAGACATCATTAAATGCAGACATTTTCTCTGTCCTCCTGTTGTGACATGAGAGCTCGGACTTAGTTGTAAAAATATTTATGATGCAAGAGAAAATAAATGGCCAAGCCAATGTGTGTAAATGTTGATAATAACATTAAATATTCTTTGATAACTAGTGTGAGTGTGTTTTGTTTTTTCCAACATGAAAATTAGGGGGAAAATGAGTTTTGGTTGAAAATGCTAAATTGTATAATTTATAGTGTTTCTGTTGCGGAAACCTAAACTGTCTTTCAACTGGCTAAATTGTCAATAATTTATAGTGTTCTGTTGAAACCTTGCGTAAACCTCCTATGGTACACCATATGTATTTCAACCATATACGCATACTGAAACCTTGCGTATACCTCAAGTTTCAGCAAGTTTCAGTTGCGGAAACTATTCGGATTCGTGGACACCTTTGGTTTCCGCACTGCGGAAACTTGATGAAACTTGAAGTTTCCGCACTGAAACTTTGTGGAAACTATTAGTAACCTTAAGTTTCCACAGAGTTTCAGTAGAGTTTCAGCCATGCGGAAACTGTATTTTCATCCAGTGCGCGTGAAAAATGTTCTATAGATAAAATATATACCTCCTGTAAATTATAAAGAGCGAAAGCCAGACCACTCTTTTGAACCACAGCTTGTTTCAATGTACAAAATTTATATAACATAACAGGGTCTGAGGGATCCATAACATATAAGGTACGTACAGGCTTGGACCAAAGTACTGGTGAAAAACTGGGATTCCGAAGTCCGAATTTTCTTGGTTCTAGTGGAAATCTATATAGTCTAGAGAGCATTCATTATTTATCGTTGTAAGAAATACAGATAGGTATTCGAATAAGTGATATCACTTATTTGAAAAGGTGACATCACCTATTGGAAATGGATAGGTGATATCACCTATTCAAATAAGTGATATCACTTTTTGGCAGTAAATACCAAAACGGCGCCTCATACATTATTCCTAAGAACTGAGCTGGGATGGAACCATATACATGTATGGTGGCATTTTTGCCTTTTGTCATCAAATAGAAAGATTGATTGATTGTTTATTGTTAAACGTCCTACTCGAGAATTGTTCGCTCATATGGAGAAGGAAGGGGAATCTTTTATTCAACAGGACTGACGTTAATCAGATAAGGGTTGTGTCTATTTGTCTTTTGCTTTCAGTCAATCCTATGCAGTCCCCCACAACTGTGACGATCAGTGATATCTCTAATCATAACTGCTACAACGGGAGAATTCCCACGCGGTCCCCCACTATCTTTTTCAACAGATTGTGTAAAACAAGCAAAATGACAATACAATTTGGAAGACAGATATTTGTGAAAGAGATTGAAGTTTTTGGAGGTATGTAAGAACAAACTCTGCGATAAAGCGGACGAGAGCGCTGTCCAGCTTGTCTGTGTCTTGGCGAAATCAGCCGATATCTGTCCACAATTTTTTTTTTCAAAATCATAGAATATTACATAATTTTACATTAATATATTT